AAAGACAAATGCAATTTTGTTTTCAAAGGTGTTCCCGTATGGCAGCGCTGTCCCGTGTCCTGTAAGCGTTGCGAAGATATAACCAAATCGGAGGAAATACAATTGTGATGTAGTTGACGACATGGYAATCTCACCGCAAATATGCGTACGGTACAAGAACAAATGCGAAAAATGTTKTATGAAGTGCGGTTCATCGTGAGAAACATCWAGATTAGTCTGACTTCTTTCGATACGCTGATATGCAAGTACGGGTCCTTCTTCCACTACATAATATGTGCYCGATTTGCATCTAGTAGCAGGCTCAATATTTGGGCAATTTGAATGGATCCTTCTGTGTCAAAATACTTTATTGATCTGATTCGCTAGTGAATGTTTTATCCCTGCTTTGAATGTTTCACCGGTAGTAAGACTGGAGAAACCCTTCAAACATAGAAGTATCTGTTTGTTGTTTTGGTGTTTGCTAACTTCTTGTTCTTCATCATCAACAACAGCAACGATAACTGGTCGATTTTTACAGTGAGCACGATTGAGATTTCATCGTTGATAGTCAGTCGTGTCATTTTTAATTTGATGCACGGATCATCATCACTAAAAWCAAATTTGTTTACCCTACATTACTGCACTGTTCTTACCAAATTCTGAAGCTCTGTACGTACGTACGTACGTACTGTACGTATTGGTAGCATTGGTTTCTCCTCAAGAGGTCGGAAAATACCGAAAAACAAATAAAATTGTTTTACTYCTGAAAAAAGAAAGAAGTTAACGCATTCAAAGCATGAATCGAGATTCTCTCAATCGTGTATTCCAGCATGGAATCACAAACAAAACCCGAATAGAAAGAACTTGAAACTCAAAATGCTGCTTTCACGCAGGGATGAAAAACGCACCTTGCTCTCATAATTTGAGAAGGTTCTTTTCCAAACGAAAACAAAAGATCAAACGTTGTATAAGACTTGAACTATGACTATCCCTACCGCTAGAACAGCACTTTCGTCAGTGCTAAAAACTACCGCATCAAGACGTCGATCGTTTGAATCTATTGCAGGGTTGAGAGCAATTTCCCAGTCCCATCGTTCGAATGCTGCTCCTCGCAAATCATTTAGCACAGCACCGATGAKAGACCATCCTTTTTCRGGGCCGAATGTTGCTGCAGAAGAAATCGTATCAACAAGGACAACAACGAGAAATACTAGTGCGGATAGCTCCATTAAAAACCTTGAGGATTTTGTCGAGAAAATTCCCCACGTCGTGCGCCAGAGAAAAATGGAGAACATCGATCCAGGTGCTCCGAATGATCCTGTTGCCAAATTATTTCGGTACGTATAACTATCTGTAGAATGAAACGAAAACATACCACCGTGYATTAGAWKACAACGTACGGTAGTACAATTTGAATTCCTTGTCACCAACCATGGTTCTCACATACAAAAATTTTGCTCCTCTCTCACGCCGAATGTTTTTTTGTGATTTCTGCCTTTTTTGTCTAACGATTGATTGATAACTACGATACTTGTTTGTTTCATAATCCATCTACCCAACGTTGTCTCGATGATGTAGCCAATCCAACCTGTCAAAAAAAGCCTGGATGCAATATTCTCATTTCGATTCAACGAAACCATACACGCGCAACCTGATTGCGACCGACCACGAGACGTACACATTGCTACTGCTATGTTGGAATTCTCTTGAGGAATCGCCTATTCATAATCACCCCTGCGATGGATGCTGGCTCCAGGTTTTGGAAGGTGAAGTTCAAGAAGTCCGCTACGATCATCGGCTTCAATGCACCATGGATATCGTATACAGAAGCGGGCAGCTTTCCTACATTACTGATAATACCGGCTACCACAAGGTGGGAAATCCATCTTCTCAGCGAGCTGTGACATTGCATTTGTATGCTCCACCTTTTGAGCGTTGTCAATGCTGGCACAGCCCTGATGATCTTCCTAATAAACCTGTAGAGGGAAAGAGCGTCAACCATTCCGAGTATGGRCGTGTTTTGGTATAAACGCAGGCTGTGCTACAGACTATTCTAAAGTATGCTTCAAGCCAAGTCACTGAATCATTACGCTTTGAAAAGCAAGGCTATGAAGTAGGTAACAAAAGAASATTTCCTAACATAACCGCAGTTCTCAAGAAAAGGCGAAGAGTTAATCGACCAGCAATAACGATTAGATACATTTGAAAATTTGATACCCTTTTTAGAAATTCGGGAAGAAAGACTAATGATTCACCTTGACTTGATTATTATGCGTWCATTTCAATTGCTTGAGAATTGACGAGCACGCTGTCTCACTTGGTCAAAGATTGGATCGATGTAACGTTGGGTAGGGATGTCTCGTCACATGACTTGATCGAATGTCTTCGACTCGTTCGATCCCACAAATGGCCATGGCRGCTTCAAACTCGGTTTGTAAGAGGCTAAGTAGGTGTGATACTGCCTCTTCTCCGCCGACACCGAGGGCAAAAAATATCGGTTTCCCGATCCCTACCGCTGATGCTCCGAGAGCTGTATAATCAAAGAAAGAAGACCAAACAAAGCATGGAACATCATTTAGATTAGATAAGTCCTTACGAGGGAATTTCACTCACAGCAATTGCATCAATGGTAGGTGTTTTCAATCTCGATGTACTATTGTCACGAATTCTTGCAGACGTACCTAAGGCTTTTAGTACATCGGTTCCCCGACGAATCCCACCGTCGATCCAAATCGGGATGCCACTGGTCTTTATGGCGTGTGCCACCTCTGGTAGAACRTCTATGGCGGAGAGACATCCATCCAACTGCCTCCCCCCATGATTTGACAGTAAAATAGCATCGGCTCCTGCTTGAACCGCTAAAACAGCGTCTTCGGCGGTCAAAATGCCTTTGATTACCAGGGGTATTGGCTTTTGCATCCGTCTCTTTTCTTGTTCATTCCGCAGCTCTCTCTTAATCCAACGAACGTCTTCCCACGAAACATTTTGTTCAAACATTTGCTCACTATTTTGGTCCCATGCCTTTTTTTCTTGGCTGTTGTAGGTTTGTTCCAGTCTTCGCGACGAACATTTACTATCATTATCAGCACCATTAATGTCGTCATCGTTGCTATTGTAGTCAAACTCGTCGTAGTTCACCAATCGATGAGGTGGTGGTAAAGCATTGAATCCATTTCTCGCATCGGCTTCTCGGTATCCAAACCGAACGCTATCTACTGTAAGAAATAGACCCTGGTAACCCGCGCGAATGGCACGACGAATGAGATTTATCGTCTGACGCCTGTCGTTTAGGATGTAAGACTGGTAAAACTTCAGAGAGGGAGACAGCGTTGACGATGGCATCGCTCTAGATTGCGTTGCAGCTGCAACCTCTTCGATGGATTTCGTGCTGTGCTGGGACAATCCAAAGAGGATGGATGCCTTGGCACACGCCCGAGCCGTGGCGCATTCTCCCATTTTATCGCAGAGAGCATGTACACCTGCCGGACTCACAAAAACAGGCATGGAGACAGGGTATGCAACCTCRCACTTGGCTCTGCCCGTGCCAAAACGCAATACCGTTTTGGTGCTGATGTTTCCAACTGGTCTCAACACGCGAGGGCGCAAAAACCATCTGGAGAAGGCCTTGCGGTTTTCTGCTAGAGTTTGCTCGTCGTCCGATCCCGACGCGAGGTAYTCGTATAGATCCTTGGGAAGCCGTTTACGGGCCAAGACTTGAAAGTCGTTCACGTTGAAACATAGGGAGTGGAAGTCGCTGCTGTTGGCATCGCTAGCGTTTTTGTTTTTATTTTCATTCCCACTGCCGTTGCCATTCATTTGGATTGATGCCAGTGTCTTGCGAGACATTTCCGGTGGGCGACTCATCTTTATGAATRCAAAAGCTGATAAGAAACTACGAATCTTTGGTGTAGTGGTGGGTCGAGTGGAAGATTATACTGCAGTCAATGATTGCTCACAACGTTCGAATTTTGAAGAAGTACGTCGTACGGTAAGAGGTAGAAGTAGATCATAGATTGTTTAGAATTCCAGCGCTTGGTGTCAAAAYTCCTATCATGGCATCAAAGACAAGAATTTTATGATCTAAATCATTCACGAGTCATGATCATTCATGAGTCACCGATTCGTCGTAGCRTCAACCAACGAAATAAGTTGTCTTCAAACCAGCAATCATCCAATCGAAGTGAATAATGCAAGTAAGGTGAATGAAATGGAAAAAAATACTTTGTCTTTTTTACTCTTCTCTTAGTGTTACTTGTAATATTATGATAAAGTGAGGAATGGAAAGCGTACAACATCATGGTGTAATACAATCATTCTCCATAATTACTACGATCGTATAAGTTTTCTCAAAACTGTGGTATTGAATAACAGCAACCTAACACTATCTCTATCTCTACAAAAATGTATTTGTAGCATCGTCTGGAAGCCRTCATCGTTGCCCTCCTTCTCTTTCTTTCCTGTTCTTCCTTATATTGAAGTTCTTGTCGTCAACCCATGGATTCGTGCACTCGTAAAACTCGGGCAGTGCCCGGGCGGGTCCGCCGTTCTCGTGGTGGCGATGGTGCTCCATCCGCCTCCGAAATTCTATGATCTCTCGCAMGAGCGCCGTGCTGGTCCTGACCAGGCCTTGGTGACGATGRTACATGCTAAATGCAATCATTCCGTTTCGTGCGTGAACTGCCAGCGCCACATCCTCCCAGTAGCCCCTCCCGGCCCGTACACCGTGCTCCGATCGAAAACTCACACCGGTCGTCTTTGTTGCCGTGCTGTTGTTGCCAGGGGCTTGGTCCRWAGACGAGCTAGTACAGYCCGTCATGTTCTCTATCTCTTCGTGCAGTAGCTTCAACGTGATGGATCGATCGGACATGACGTAGATGTGGCAGCGTGCGGGGCGTGGCTGGCGCAGGTATGCTTGGACTGCAGACCAGGACGACGAATCGGTCTCGTTCGATGGATATAGWCGCTCGAGGCACATGTGGTCTGGCCAGACGTAATCGTCTGCATGCTGACCGCTGTGCCGCGAATGAATAAAGATGGTTTCCGTGTCTGTTGTTGTTACTGCCGGGTCGTTGCCACCCGTGGAGTTGGCCTTGGCCGCAAACGACGGGTGGGTGTGCAAGAGCTCGGGGGSCGGATCCAAGCTGGGGTCCATGGTAAAGATCGACTCGAAGAGCATTCCGTATAAAAAGTAGATCCCCTCCGTCCGCAGATCCCGGAGCCGCTCCCGGCTTTCGGGCTGCACCAGGAATTTTGTTTTCGAAATGGGAACCGTCAGGATGTCACCGGGATTGAGAAGMACCTGCTTCCCGCTTCGCAAAACGCGAATGGCACCGCTACCATCCGGGTCGTCGTAGGGCTGCGTCGTGGCGTCTGCCTTATCCTTGTGGGTTTGGGCCCGGACCAGGTCGCTGTGGTCTTTTGCCATCCCGAGCCGGTCCCTCCATTCGTCGTAGGAAGGGATCCATGGGCTCCGTTCCAGCATTCCATCGCAATCGGAKGGGCCGGTGATCAGGTTARTGTTGTATTCGTTTGCACATGCGGGCTCATCGTATTCCTCGCAKATTTCCTTGGTTTGGTACCTCCAGAGAAAGGTCCGGTTGGTCAGCACRGCCCACATGAGACCATGCATAAACCGATGCAACCGRTTCCCCGATTCGATGGGACACGAGTAGGAGGCGACCAGGTATTTTCTGTGGCTTCCGGTCGTCTCRTCAAGCCTGCAAGCGCTCGCTGTTGCGCCTTGCTGTTGCTGCGTGTTGTGTTGGCATGCTTCGTTCCACTCCTGCTCYAATCGCTGGTGGGAGTGTTCGGATATGTATCGAATCAGTACATCCATTGGTGCAAGAGGATGGGACATACGCATCTTCTGGTCGTTGCCATCGATTGGGTTCAATTGTGCCACTGCATCTTCGCTTGCGTTCCGTTTTGTATTTGCGTCGGCCATCCATGCCTGGTAGAAAAAATTTCGCTCGTAGAGGTCCTCTCGAGTCAGATTCATGGACGAGAGGAAGGCCRAAGACGGCAAAGACGTCGAATCCGTCGCCACCGAGGAGRTCAACAACGACTGGTAMCACCACGATGCGGACCAGGATGCGGACCACGATTCGGGTAATCCGACCAGAGCAATGTTGACGCCGCCGGTCATAAATTGCACGGCGATTAGTGCGCAAACCAATATGGCGGACAGATAAGATCGCCGCTGCATCATTCACGTTCCACTGRTGCTATCCGTCGTCGTTTCTGTTGCTGCCGTTGTTTTGTGCTTGTCAACGGCCTTCTCGGAATAGATCTTGCACTCTTTGTCAGCATTGCTGTGGTTCCCTGTTCTTGCACGATTTCAGTTTAAAATTTAAAATCTCTATTCTTTAGTCTACTCGTAACTCGTACGTAGCGTATGTAAGGGCCCATGGTACGTACGACATATGACCCCTTACATGAGAGATTACATGAGAGATACCGCTACGTAACTGTACGTACCGTACCGTATGGTARTACTCGTACTTATCTATTTGCAGCAGTATTGTACCATATGCATGGGATCTATCAATAGTATGATACATCAATGGGTTCGGTCTTGGCTCCCCATCCAAGTGCAACGAGAACCGAGAGCTGATCTCTTCTTTGAAGTGCAACGAAAACAGCTGCGACTCWAAGAACAGAAGTTTCATTCTCTTTGACTTCCATGGTCTGTAACCCATATTACTACACGTGCCAGTTGCAGAAGTAGAGTAAGAGAACGAGAATGACCCCAGCCCACCGGTCCAGTACTGTATGTACAAGTAGGAGTATCGTACGTATCAATACTAAGATATGGTACGTACCGGTAGTGCTTTCATCCTGGTAAAGTACAAATCATCATCGTATGCCGTTCCAAACTATCAGTAGGGTAAGTTACATAACGGAACGTAGAATTTTTTAGAACCCAATCGCCCAAACCAACTCATTCGTTGAGATGGTTTTTKATTTCTTCCCCCTTTTTCAATCACACAAGCGAAGGACATCAGAAGAAGTTTCGACTRTCCGCACCCACATACTGCARAGTCTGCCAGAACTRRAGAGAGTAGTRCGAGTACCAGACACCAACACCTTCAMT